GGCAGGAATTGGTGAAAGTTGAAGTGATGGGAAGGAGCAGGGAAGCAGAACAGATGCTAGATACAAGCCATGACAGAAAAACAAGCCTRGGAGTGGGCTGGAGGTGGGGCTGGGCTGTGTGTTGGTTCTGCTCAGAAGCCAAGCAGCCATCTAAAGGGAGGGATGGGACTGTGTGGAGGTGATGCTGAAGATGGCCATCAATCATTATCATACTCTTTCTCACCTGGATATCTCTCTTAGGTTCCTGCTGACTGGCCAAGCCAGGGGCTTGTGGAGTTCCAACAAGTGGTCCTGGCATACAGAGCAGGCTTGCCTAATGCACTTGATGGTGTGAGCTTCACTGTTTACCCTGGAGAGAAGCTGGGAATTGTGGGTCGCACAGGATCTGGAAAATCCACCCTTTTCTTGGCCCTTTTCCGCATGGTGGAGCTGAAATCAGGCCGGGTTCTCCTGGATGGTGTTGACAGCCAGCTGGTGGGCTTGGAGGAGCTGAGGTATGGCTGAGCAGAGTGAAGGGTAGCTGACGGGGCTGCTGGCTGAGAGCTGTCAGTGGCTGGRTGCCAAAGTAAAGAGTGAGGGGACTCAGTCATGGCTCCCTCTTTTCTGATTGTGGCGGCTTTTTATGAGTTTCTCTGTTGTTTCTCAACAGTTGTGCTAAGGCTGATCATGTGAYTCATGTCTCTGTGCCTCTAAGATTTGGGGCAAGCTAAGACACCCCATGAAAAAGGAAATAGCAGACCTTTACTTTTCTGCAGAACCCATCCCATGAGCCCTCATCTCTCATTTGCTTGCAGATCTAGGCTGGCCATCATCCCCCAGGATCCATTTTTGTTCAGTGGCTCCATCAGAGAAAACCTGGACCCCCAGGGAAAACGGACAGATGCTGAGCTCCACGAGGTGCTAGAACAGTGCCACCTGTGGGATGCTGTTACTCAGATGGGTGAGTTGGAAACCAGTGAGAAGCAGCTGATGAGTGGTCGTTCTGAGCGAGGAGAGAAGGCCTTAACTCAGGCAGGGAACTGAAGAAAAGAGGCCAGGTGAATGCAGGAGGGAATGGATTAGGCAAGGTCACGCTAGGACCAGTGTGGGAACAGGTCAGTGGGACCCAGTGGCATTCCCTGACATTTAGAGGCAAATGGACTGGCAGGTGATGGATTGGGTGGCAGAATCTGCTGGTGAGACCAGGCCTCAGTGGATGTTAGAGGAGCACCTGGGAGACAGGGCAGGCCTTAGTTCTACGGAAACTGTGCCAGATGTTGCTTGTGTCCAAGTGTAAAGGCTCTAGTTCCTAAGGCCTGGGCCTGAGCAGAATTGGKGTTTTGAGTTTTTTCGGGAAAACCTTAGAATGGTGGAGCTGTCTGGGGCCCTGTGCAGATGGTGCAGGTGACTGCTGATCTTGATCCCTGCAGGTGGACTGGACAGCRAGCTGGGAGAGAGGGGAAAGAATCTGTCTGTGGGACAGAGGCAGCTGGTGTGTCTGGCCAGAGCCCTCCTGACGCAGGCCAAGGTGAGTGCACTGCCTCCATTGGAGCAAGGGGGACGGTTCAGAGCTGCTGGTGGCTGTCTGGGGACAGCAGAGGAGAGCACTGCAGAGTTGGAGGTGTAATGGGAGCAGACATCCTGTGCTAACTTCTCAAGCTGTCTCTAGGCAGGGTTGGGGTCTCTGCTGTGGTGCTTTGGAGCTCCCTTCACTCTCTGTCCCTGGCAGGTGCTGTGCATTGATGAGGCCACAGCCAGTGTGGATCAGAAGACAGACCAGCTGCTACAGCAGACCATCCGCCAACGCTTCGCTGACAAAACAGTTCTGACAATTGCTCATAGGTATGGAGGAAGCAGCACGGTGTGCCTAAGGTCATTCTACCACTCACAGGAAGAGGTGGCTGCACATGCTATGCCTGGGCCTCAAGTTGAGCAGGGCTTTCTCTGTAATAAGGTTTTTCAAGTGCCAAAGCTGGRCCTTGCCTTTTGCCTTTTCTGCTGGGTACTGGGAACAACTGGATGTGAAATGGGGAAAATGTTATACCCAGAAGTTAGTGTCAGCAAAGGGCAAAATGCCGCATCATATCACAGATTTCTGTTCCTGGACACTGCCTGCTGGGATTGGTGGGGTGGGTGAATCGTGCTTTGTGGTTCTGCCAAATTAGGGCGAGGAGTAATGGAGAACTATCCTATAGAAAGGGGCAGTGTGGAGACCGGCGTGAAGCAGTTGTCCCTGGCTCAGTAGAGGGCAGTGCAGGACAGCCGGTAGCAAAGGGCTGCAGCCAGCTCCTGCATAGTTCTGTTTTCCAAAATCRTGAGTTTTAGTCCCAGTCTGCACCTGCTGCCAGCAAAATAGACATTGCCCAGGCAGGACACTACAACAGTGATTGCCCCACATCTGAGAGATTTAGTGTGAGGGTATAGTCAGTGGATGGTCACAGCTGGAGGGAGGAGAGCAAAACATGAATACCGCAGAGAAGGGATGGATGGATCAGCATTAGGCAGTGTTCTCTGCTCTTACTCTTGCCAAGTGGAGGAGAATTTGGAGGAGAGTTATGCAATTGTTTGGAGGGTGTTTTCAAAGTACAGAGGTTACCACAAAAATAAAAATCAAATGAGCAGGTGGCAGGGGCTGGTGTCCTGCTGCATGGAAGTGGGAGTGATGGATGACAGGCAGGGTGGGCTGGGCCTGGCAAGTGAATCAAGTGGGTCTTGTTAAATACATCGTGTAGGAGGGAGGCAGGAGGGGTGTGAAGGGAATGTGGCTCCTACACTAGAGTTGTTAGGCATAAATAGTATAGAAGTACAAGGGCACTGTGGGCTGAGATACATGTTTGGGCTGGGTGTGGGGAGGCCACCTTTGATGGGGGAGTAATTAAAGAGGAGAACCAGCAGAGGAAGGAGTGGCAGAAGGTAAGGCAGCAAGACTGATATGAAGATGGCCCCAGCCCCTCTTCACTGGGGTGAAGAGCAGTGGAGAGAGCAGTAAGGAGAGAGGTGATGATGAGGTTGTGCATGTGGTTCTTCCATGCCATTCAGTTTGRGTGAACCATTAATTGGATGGGTGAAACGTAGGATGGGAGATGACTCTACTTGTGTCTTGCYCCTCCAAGTCGTTTCCAGTGCTACAGCCTGCACTCCCAGGGAGATGAATGTGTAACCAGAGTCCTGAGCTCCATAATGCCTTTTACCTGCTCAAATCSTGTGCAGTATCTTCCTTGTGACTTGCAGCTTTGTAAGGCTATAGTTTCACACTGTGAAGTGCATGGCTGTGCAAAGACATTCCTCCTGTCGTGTCTCCCCCACCCAGGGCCAGAGGTTGCTGCTCTGCTGGCAGTCTGGGCAGACCTGGGCACATATGCGTGCAGTGGGTCCTGTTGGCTGTCTGGCAACAACTCCACTAGTTGTTGTGGCATGAGCAAAGATGCCAGACTTCAGGGGGATAACAGCTGATGCACAAGTCCATTTCTGCCCCTCTCGGGAGGTGGCAGGTGAGAAAATGCAGGGGYAAATGGAAGCCACTCACTAACCCCTGTGGGAATGGAGACATTTTGTGCACCCCCAGAATCAGGCATGCTCTGAGCTTCCCCCCATAGAACTTCCCCCTGTGCATGGTGCCCTGCCATGCCCAACAACTGGAAGGCATCACCGTGTCCTCCAAAGAGGTGGTACATTTCAGCAGTGAGCAGAGGCTCTCTGCACTGCAMGGTGACCTTGAGTGCAGAGGGAGATCCTGCCAGCTCCTAATGCTGGGCATGTCTCGGGCCACCCTTAACAGCAGAGGAAGCAGTATGCAGAGCTTCTCAGATCCACCRACATGTGTCCTGGCATTTGTTGTCCACAGGCTGAACACCATCCTGGACTCRGACCGCGTGCTGGTGATGCAAGCTGGGAGAGTGGCAGAGCTGGATTCACCTGCCCACCTAAGCCAGAAAGATGGCTCCTTGTTCCAGGGCCTCCTGCACAGCAGGCAGCAATGACCTCCCTCCTGGGCTGAGCCCAGGCAGCCCTTCCAGCTCCGTGCTTGGCTTTCCTCTCACCTCCAGCACCAGCCCTGTCCATGCAGGGCCAGGAACTGCTGAGGTGAGGGTAGGACTTATTCCTGCCTGCAGGCAGCAATTGTGTGTCCTCAGGGACAGGAGCAGGGCACTGTAACCTTTCCTTTAGTGGGGAAGATGTGACCTGCTGTTTAGAGTCTGCAACCCTGGTTGGTGGGATACTGCTCCCCTCCAAGGCTTCCCTTTGAGATTACAGAGGGATTTTCTACTCAATGAAGAATCARTAACTCCTAGTTTGAGACTTAGTCTCACGTATGCAATGTAAAATAAAGTGGAAATATCCTTTGTGAAGCTGTTGTTCAGGTTCGTGGCCCTTTTCCTCACCAGACCCATATTTCCTCATGAGATACAAGAGTGGTGCCCTTTCTGAATAAAGACAACCTATTTCCAGAAGGCCTTTCCAAGCCTGGAAGATTGTACCCAGGGACRTTGTTGCTTTTCCTCTGGTTTTCAGTGGAGAACGCCCTCCCCTGAAGGGGCCAGAATGCAATTGCATCGAAGGCCTTTGAGGCTAGTATTTCAAGACCACTCCTTCAAGGGAAACTCTCTATCCCTCCTGCTTTGCTCCCAGCTACACAAACCCACAAGTGCTTTCAGTTTTAGGATCTTGCTCTTGCYATGAGCACTTTGGACTCAGACCTGGGCTTTCCCCTTCTTCCCAACACTCCTAAGGCAATGCCTAGCCCACACCTTTGCTATGCTACCCTTAGGTAGGTGCCATTCATTTCCCTGAGGCTGTAGGAGCCATCCCAATCCCTGCAGACAGAGAATAAGGCGGGACAACTCCTGTACCAGTCTGAGTTTGCATTCTTGAGGGACATGATGGAGATACTCATCAAGAACAAGCTGCTGAGGAACTTGATCTACTTGGATCTGCTGAGAGCAGGAGTTGGTGTTCAGAGGTCCCTTGCAACCTAAATTGTTTTATGATTCTCTGGTACACAGTTTCTGAGCTTGTACTTATTTTATTTGATAAAGGTACATCATCCATCCATGTATTAAAAAAATAATCTTTCTGATGAAGCTCCAGTCTCTCCTCCCAGGTCTCTCTCCTGCCTGAGTGGTCACTTCTTGGCTCACCTCACACCACCTTGAACCCAGCTCTGCAACCCTACAAGCTAGTAGTAGGGTTTGGGTTGTGGGGGGTTGTGCCCCACTGSTTGGCCCTCTATGCCCATGAGGAGGTACAGAAATCCCTGGCGCTGGGAGAGAGACATTGATTGCTGCACACCAGACCAGCACAGGCAGGAGGACCTGTTCAAAGACTAGGTGATCTGACCATCTACTGTCTCTTAGCAGCTGTGCTTTAGCAATGGCAAAGGCAGTTTTGTGTCTGCTTCCTGTGTTCATCCCAGGCTCGGTAGCCTGTCCTCCCCACATCCACTGTGGGGAGTTTAGCCATTGTATGAAGAAAYGCTACAATGACTGATTGAAGTCAGAGACAGCTGCCTGCCTCAGAGTGAATGGGAGAGGAAAGGAGGACCTGGATCCCGTATTGCTCCTGAACCAGCCGCAGCACAGCCTTGTCCATCTCCAGCTTCACCTATGAGGACATATGAGAAGGACCAGCTCAGTCCCAGAGGAYCCCAGAGGAGAACAAACGGTGAGGCAGCAGTGCACACTGCAGAGGCAGAGGATCTTGGTCATTTGTGGCCAGACCAGAAAGGACGGCTTGGTAAGTGGGTCAGAAAGACCCCTGGATCATCAGGAGGAAAGCAGGGAACATGTTTGTAATCCCAGCTCTGACAGCAAGAGGGGCAGGCATCAGCCAGGGCAGAGGAAGGGCATGAGACCTCCAATGATTTTTWAAGTCTCTTTGAATTGGCTCACAGAACCACAAGGCCAGGGAGCAAGGGTGTTCGTCACTCCCTAGAGACATGGCATCTGAAATGACAGCCTCCAGAAACAGCCAGGAACTACCCCACACAGTACTATGGCAGGAAGACCCATGCAGCCACAACGGTCCCAAAGGCCCTGGAAGAAGCATCCTAACACCAGCAGAAATGAGGATAAAGCCCCTTCCAGTAGTCACAGACAGGAGTTACCAAGGGCCTGTCAGCATCTGGGCTTGCAAGAGGGCTGTGCCCTCCTTCGCACTACCYGTCCTGTTCCTGAACACTCGTGTCGGATGATATCGGCGCTTGGATGGCATGGGCTGCTGCAAGCAGTGCACCATTGCTCCTCTGCAGGGCTGGCCCAACAGCCCTGCCTTCAGATGCCCATGGGTGCCAGCTGAGCCAGACAGGAGACACCTTGGACGCAAGCAGGGCCGTCACACCAATGCTCAACACCCAGGGTTTCGTTAACGTGTTTGCTGCCCTGGGAGCCCATCCCYGCTGCCCGGTCGGTGCCGCTGTGGCTCCACAGGGTGCAGTTCGTGGKGTTTGCCAGCATGATGACCTGCCAGGGCCCAGTTCAGAGTCCTCGCAGCTCACAGYTCTGTGGTCTTCCTTGGCTCAATCAAGATGGTGTTGAGCATGCCCACCTGACACTCCTGGTCTTGGAGCTTTCTGGCAGCCTGAGAAGGGCTTTGGCACCAGTTTGACCTCTGACGGCCTCTCTGCCAGTTCCTCAGCATTAGCAGGACAGTGATGAGGACCAGCACTGCTGTCAGCACCCCGAACACCAGCACTGTCACCAGCTGGGCTTCGCTCAGCCCCGAGTCCCTTTGGGTCACCACCTCCTTCACAGAGATTTTCAACAACCCTCCCCCCGGCTCTTTCTCACTGTGGTTGGCCACRCGCCGCCCCGTGACCACGGTCCTGACAGGCTCCGGCTGTGTCACCCCCGGCGTCTCACTAGTGGTGCTTTTCACAGCCCCACCATTCTCGGGATCTGCAGCATGGTAGGGAGGAGACCAGGTGGGCTCAGGGACGGAGATCTCGCAGGTTTTGCCAGTGAAACGGTCAGGACACAAGCAGTCATAGTCATTGATGCGGTCATAGCACTTTGCCCCGTTTTTGCATGGCTGGCTGGCACAGTCATTGATGTTGATGGTGCAGAAACGCCCTTCAAAGCCCACCTGGCACTGGCAGGAGAAGCGGTTGATGCCATCGTGGCAGGTGGCCCCGTTGGCACAGGGGCGCATCAGGCAGTCRTCCACGTCGTGTTCACAGAAAGTCCCCACAAAGCCAGCGAGACACCGGCAGGTGAAGTTGCTTGCAAAGCCGTTTTCATCTTGACACTGCCCACCATTCTTGCATGGAGACCTGTGGGGAGAGAGCAAGGATAGGTCATGGCCCTGGAGAGCAAGCAGCTTCCCCCACCCCAGGGAGGTAAACACACAGGGCTGCTTGCATGGTCAGTATATCCAGCTCTCTCCATGGGGGCAGCTATCTCAAGGACAACACTGGGTGGGAGTTTCTGTCTCCTTGAGTGAGAGGCCRTGGGACCTTCTCAAAGGCTATGGCTGTGCATGAGCCCACCACCCACCAGGGGAGGTCTTCAGCCAAATGATCTGAAGAGGAAACATGCCCTCCTGATGCTCCCCAAAGGCATTATGGATGTCAGCTCATCACACCTATGGCAGTGAGGGACAAGAATCTCTTCAGATTGCAACAAAGCCCTTGCCCCAGTGGGACTGTGCACTGCATGCTGCWAAACCAAAGCCAAAGGTAATTTTGGCCTAACTCCCTTAGTGCATGGAAATTCACAGATAACGAGCCAAGCTGAGCCTCCACTTGGCAGTGTGTGACCCAAAGTTTATGCTGTCTGTAGTCTCACTGCAGTGTCTCACCCTGCCTTCTCACATGGCCCTGTCTTCATCTCACAGTCCTTCCCGTGGAAACCTTCTGGACACAAGCAGGAATATTCCCCATCTTGATCGTAGATGCACTGTGCCCCATTCTGACATGGGGACTGGTGTTCGCAGATGTGTATATCTGAGGGGGAAAAAAATAGCGTAAACTAGGGAGAAAAGAGGGTTGGTGTGGCCAACTCAGTGCCAACACAACCCATCAAACCCCCTGGGGATGGAGAAATGACAGGAACTTCTGTTCTCTCCTCCAGTGGGCACCTGCAGCAAAAGAAGTGCTGTGTCTATGTGGTAGTGAAGATGCTGTGCACACCAACTGTCTAACCAGTGGAGACCCTGTGGTACAGGCAAGTCTCTGGGGCTGGAGAAGGGAACTCCACCAGCCACCTGCTGAAGGCAGAAAGTCTTGGGGAAGGCAGGGGATGCTGCTTTGAGTCTTGACTCAGCATGGGAAATGTAATGAGTTCATCTGCCTCATTACCTGAAGCCGGCCAGTGTCATGCCAGCTCTTGCCATGCAGCCAGGAAGCAAGTGCCAGCAGCCTCTTTTGCAGGAAGGGAATGGTCTCAGCTGTGGCAGCCACCCACCATCYCACCTCCCAGGCAGCCAAAACAGCATCACCCAGGTGGCTTCTGGCTGCTTTGATTATGCTGGCTCACACATCCATGCAGCATGTGCTGGGCTTCTGCCCTAAACACCAGAGGCTGGGATGTCCAGCCCACAACTCACCTTTGTCACAGAACTTGCCAGCCCAGCCGGTGTGACAGATGCACTGCCAAGGCTGGTGGCACGTCCCATGAAGACAGCCCGGCATGCGCACGCACTCCTCGCAGTACTCCCCCTCCCAGCCTGGATCACACCTGCAGGAGGACAGGGCAGAATCGTAAGTACTGGCATCTCATCTGTCCAAGGAAGCAAGCAGAGCATGAGCAGACTCACCCTCTGCAGCCAGGGAGGGTGAGTGGACAGCAACAGAGTTCAGCAGTTTMACTTTTGCTGCCCACGACCCTCTGCTCTCCTCTAGCCAGCTGCTTTGTATACACCGCTGCATTAGCTCAGCAGTTCCTGTGCCTCCCACAGCACACAGCCACTCTGGCAGGCAGGAAAAAGCCCATCCTTAACTCTGAACTTCCCGAGGGAAAAGGACAAGAGGCTGCTGAGGTCCGTTTCCCTGCTCCTCTCTGCATTATGATGTGTGTCATGTTTTGTCTGGAGTGTACTGTAATCCAGCTGTGAAACCTTGCTCGCTATGGCTGGTGCATGGAATAGGCTTATCAGCCGGCTCACAAGGGCAGTACAACAGGAAAACCGGCAGCTCACAATGAGCCTTCTGGCCCTAGAAGAGCAGGGCAGTGGCAGTGGCTAAGTAAAGCCAAGCTGCATTGCTCCAGTGGCAGGCGTCCCTCAGACCTGCCAGCCTCAAGGGGGAAAACAAGTGATAACAAGATGAGAACTGAGAGGAGGTGGCACCAAGCCACAACTAAAGCTATACTCAAACCAGCATGAAAYTAAACCTAACAAAAACACTACAGTTTCTAGAGTAAGGAAGGGAGTTCATTTTCATGGCTGGGGCTCATTTCAGCGCAATRTGTGGTGACTGCAGCTATTTTGGGCGGGCCCAAGGCTGCACTTTCAAACCTGGGCTGACTGTTGTTACTGTATATTGTTGCAAAGAGCCAAAAAAAAAGAGAAAAATGGTTAAATATATACATATGTTAATTAAATGCACTTCGATGGGAATAGAGGTGATATCATATGCCTGATAGAGTCTGGAGAAGTACTTTCATTCCTGACAGTCCTGAGCAGAGGGAGGTGGACAACCCTACCCACCAGTACCTGTAGGGAGCACATGCCATCAGCTCTGCCCCTTCTCCAAAAGGGAGATGGCCAACCTAAAAATTGCCAGGGAGGGGGSCAGGCAAGCAGCCAAGTAAGTCTGCCTGAGTTTGTGGGGTGATTTTGAGGTACTGCCAAGCTGCAAGGTTCAGCAAATGCTCTGGAGGCCTGAAATCTGCAGCAGCAACTCATGTGCGGAAAGATCTGCAGCTGGGACACCTGCCACACGGTGCCATGGGGCCTCTCACCACGGCTTTGCAGCATTGTGCTGCCCCAACCCGCCACAGCTGCCTAAAGGGCTCAGGGAGGAGTTCTATGCAGCTGTAAATGAGAGCCCAGCAAAACCAGAGCTGTACACTCTCTGATGTGGCAGTCAGTAAGGACAATTTGCCCAGGTGTGATGTGACAGTGGGGGCTGTCCTGTGAAAGGGGGCTGACCATGCCCTGGCAAGGAGAGCAGGGTGGTCTGTGCCCATGCAGCTACAGGTGTCCCAGCCAGCCCAAAGCAGCCTTCACCTCCTGGCACTGCCTTGTAGGATGGGGGCTCCAGATGGTCCTACAGGGGGACAATAGGCTGTGGGGCTGTGGCAGCCCAGAGCAGTCATATGGGTGCTTACCAGGCTGAAGTGCAGGGTCAGGCTCTGAGCTTTGACCCTGCAGGATCTGGGCTCCTGCTGGAGCTGGGATGCCAGTATGGGATGCAAGTACCACATATGCACTTCTGCTGCAGTAGCTCACAACTTGCTGGTAAACCCTTCATGAAAACATCCAGTGATCCTCACCAAGCTCAGGCTTCTGAGAGCAGATCCCTGAAGCCCTCAGTTAAATGCATGCTGGCAGCTCTTCTCTTCCATGCCCCCAGAGAAAGCAACTCAACCTCAATCAGCAAGGAGGCCAAGCAAGCTGGCCAACCCCCATACCTGCCCTGCTGTCTGATGACTTTCCCCATCATATCTTAGTCTGAGGGCCTCTTCCCATCACCCAGGCACAGCTGGGTTCCTCASTAGACAAAAAAGGCTCAGCAGAATAACATTGGTCAGTGTGTGAAAGTGGGGACCCTGAAAGCACTGGAGCAAAGGCCAGAGGGAACCAGCAAGAGGATGAGGCATCAGAATCTCCCATTCCAGGGGATGTCAGGTAAGAAGAAAGCAGAGTTGTTGATTCCAGGTGTGGTTGAGTGGAGCAGAAGGTGCTTCATCTCCAGGCAGAGATGTAGGCACCAGGGACACAGCAACAAAGGAGGGAGAGCAGTTCCAGTCAGGAGCAGCAGAGAAGCAAAGACAAGCCATACCTGCACTTCCCATCCTGATCACAGCAGCCGTGGGCGAGATTACAGCGCTCACTACAGTCATCCCCTACAAGGAGAGAGATGTGAAGTTGGGTTAAGCAGRGACTATTGATGATTCCAGATCTGCCCATGGCCCTGGGTTTTTCCTTAAGTGCACAGCTTACTCTCCCCCAGAACTGTAGGATGGGCAACCTTCCTTTTGCTGGCTGGATGCACACAAGAAATGAGGATTTCACAGTAACCCAAGCAGCAATAATAGTCTTCATCGAGAAATGGGGCTCTGCTTCAAAATCACCCAGTCTCTGGTCATCTTCCTCACGTTCTCTTTTCTGCCTCCCTTAGATTTTGGGCCCTTCTTTGCAAGAGCTGGGGTTTCCCATGTGTTAAGACAACCTGTGTAAGAGGGACTGRCCCACCTGGGACCTTGGTCCCAACAGTCTTGCAGCAAGTATGGTGGGAAAGCTCAGGGCTGGGCAAGGCGCACAAAGGATGGAAATGGAAAGAATGGTTCTTCTTTAGCTCCCAGGGTGTCACCACCCCCAAGGACAGCTATTGGCACAGAGTGGTCTGGCTGGGTCTCTTGCCCTCTTCCAAGACCCAGCTGCCAGCACCCCCCTTGCAGCACAGGGAAGCAGGACTTGGCATCACATGGGGCCAGGTATCCAGTTCTGTTTATTTATTTAAAGGCCACAGAAGCTGTAACTGAGCCATGGCCTCRCTATGCCACTTCTCATCCTCTCCTTCGTGCCAGGTGTTCCCTTTCATCTCCACCTTCCCATCTCCCCCATCAGTTGCTTACATCTTAGCTCCACAGGGAGCTGGTTTACTTTGGCTCCATGGGCAGTACAATTAGAGCAAATATCAAGAAGCAGTGGGAGTTCTCCAGAAGCCTTGTACAATCCCAGGCTAGCCCTTTACCTGACTGAGCCCCACCATCCTGGACTGAAACATTTTAAAGCCCCCATGCCAAGAGATGCGCTTAGGCTTTTACAAACAGCATTTTGTGCTGCCCAGGGAAAGCAGACAGGGGAAAAAGTCCCCTGTGCATGAAGTTTTGCTGCAATGAGGCAGCAGGTCCCACTGCTGAGGGTAAGAGACTCCCAAAACAAGTCACTACAGGGCTGGAGCAGCATCCTGGGACTGCTCAGCCCCCAGCCTAGGTATCATCACCTTTCTTATTTGTAACCATCTCTCCTGGCACATGGCTTTGGGAATTCATTGCTTATCTGGAGCAGGGATAGAGTAAACTGATCTTTGGGAAAGGATTTTGTCTCGCTGGATCCAGGATTAGCTGTTCACTCTTGGGACCTTCTTCCCCCTGAACAAGCTCATTGGTTCAGGAACCCATTGACCCTAATTGACAGACACAGAGCAGCAGGGATGTCTCACTGYCCCAGTCTGCTCAGGCACTGCCACCCCTGGGGACAAGGGTTTTTAAAGTGCTTTCAGTCACACCCCAGGTGATTAATGAGTAGGATTTTCTGCTCTTYCAGGTCAGGCCATCTCTATTTTGCATGGAAAACTGAGTTGACTTCAGCAATGCCAAGGACAGGTTTGGAAAGATGGATATGAAAGAGAAGGATCCATGTCTACAGAGACTCACCTTGCACAAGCTGGTGATGGGCCAAGAGGATCCAAATCAAGGACATGAGCTGGAGACAGAAGCTCCTGAGCATGGTCAGTGTGGCCCCACCGAGATGAACACCTAAAGAGAGAAAAAGAGCAAGCTCAGCAAAATCCCATGGCTGCCTGCACAGCTTCACTTCACACATCCCTTCCTCTCTGCTACCTGGCAGTTTYGAGGTGAAACATCCAGTTTTATGCAGACTTGTCACCACATTCCCCCTGTCCTTCCAGACTCCTTAGGGCACCAAGAATTAAAAAGCTTTTGAAAATGTGTGTATAGCAGAATTGAGTGTGCACGCTCAATCCTGAGTATGTAATAGCTCAGGGTGTTACATCCCATCTTGGAGGAGCACTCGTCCCTGGTAGCTGCTGTCAAGAGAGCAGAAACTTCCAGAACTACCAATCCAGCTGCTGGGACCTTAATCTTCCCTCCCTACTTTGGGTTGAACRAGGTCTCTCCTGTGCACATTCGAATGAATAGATGGGCTGAGTGTTTTTTACAGTGCYCAGGATGCTTTTCAAACCCTGCAGGAGAGCAGGGAGTCAAGCAGATCTAGCAGAGGAGCAGGCARTAAACAGCAGCCCCCTTTCATTGTCCAAGCCAGAGAGTGAAGCGACAGGCACTAGACCTGGGCTGCAGCCCCGGGCAGGAAAGGTGAACACACACTTCTCACTAGGTGAGGCCCTTTTCCCCAGCTGTCCTGCAGAGAGCCCCGTCAGCCCAAGGTTCCTGCACCCATCTATTTTCCGACCGCCTCCTGCCCTCTTGAAGTAGCATTAAATACTTTCCAAAAATGCTTCATTCCCTCCCAGCCTTCTGGGGTTGTTAAGGGCAGGAAATTCGAGGGTGATATCATAAATATATTACTGTAATGAGATGGGAGGGGTTAAACAGTTCTGTTAGGAGAATGGTGAAGGTATGGAGCAGACTCTATGCAGCTGCGTGGGTGTGATGAACAGGGGCCATTCCACTTTCAGCTTGACTCTTCAGCTCTGGAAGATTGTGTTTGGTCCAYAGCTGTGTAAGAGACTTCTAAGATGGGGGTGTAAGTCCTCCCATCCACATACACGTACACATGCATTGCAGGAAGAGGTTTCAGAGTCCCTTCTAAGAGCTTCAGCTGCCTGGACCAGACAAAATAGCCCATAAAAGCAATGATGTTGCTTGAAGCATCTCTCCAGCAAACAAACCATCACGAATGAAGGATGCAGCATTTTCAGAGGGGTTACMGGATGTTATATGTCACTGCCCCAGCCAAATCCCACCATGGATTGCAGTATCCCCCCTTCCTCCCCTTGACACCATACTTGCAGGACCCTCCTTCACCTCCTGCCCCTAAACACTGGGCAGTGGCAAACAGCTGCTGCATTTCAAGGGAGGGCGAAGCAATTGCTATGAAACTCATAAAATAATTTAGGGCTGGAGAGTGAGTATCATGTTCCTTCAGGGCCATGAGAAGCATAACCTCCAACCACATGTCATTGCAAAGGTTGTTTTCCCTCCACAGATCACCACTCGAGGCGCAGCCTCTCAGACCTCCTGACGCAGCCATCCCATGGGTGCTGCTCCCAGGAGAATCCCCCGAGTCGCCGCGGACCCCGGCATACTGGGCAGCAGCTGGTGCCCGGGAGAGGTGTGAGCAGCTCCCACCTRGGCAGGCCTGGCTTTGGGTGGCGAGAACACGAGCGAGGCAGCTCCCTCCGTCCCCCTCCGCCTCTACCTGGCTGGGCTGGGCTCTACCAGACCTCTAGGTGCTGCAAGGACGCCCCCGGAGTCTACYAACCTCCCTCTCGRGGGTATTAGGGACCTCAGTGCGGTYGGGGACATCCCCAGGACGTGGAGTGTCAGGCACTGCCCCTAGCCTGAAGGCTATCGGGACCGCTCTGGACTGGGGTCCGGGGGCAGGGATGGGAACCCGGGGATGCCGCGCCGCTGCGCCTCGCCGCGCCTGTCCCCCCGCCCCCCGCCCCCCGGGGGTTTGGGACCACCCCGAGCCCCGGCGCACCCCGGACGGGCACGGCCACGGGGGGCTCGCCTTCCCCCCACCCACCTCACTGCCGTGCCCGGAGGGGACGCTTCGCGGAACCCCGCCGGTCCCCCTGCGGCCGCGGCGGCGGCGGCGGGGAAAGGGGGCCGGCCGGGCTGGGGGCTGCGTGTCCGCGCCGAGCGCTGTCCCCCTGCCCCCTGCTCACCTCGGCGACGCGTCGGGTCGTGGGGCTATCGCGGGGCGCGGCGGCGGGGGGCGGCCATGCCCGGTGCGGCGGCGGCGGGGCTGGGGAGGCGCGGGGCTGCGGAGGGAGCTGCCGCCGCGTGTGCCGCGCCGCTCCGCCCGCCGCCGCCGCCGCCGTGCAGCCCCGGCCGCCTGCCAGAGGCTGCGTGTGCCTGCACATCCCCGCTCCCTCCCCGGGACATCCCGCCTCCCGCCGCCCCAAACCGCAGGCAGCCCCCGACCCGGCCCGCCCTGCCCGCTCACCCCTGCCCTGCTGCCGCCTCCGGGGCCGGGGGGAACCCCGCACGGCCCCGCCCGTCCCCCACTGCCCCGGGGGGCTGCGGCTGCGGGGGCTCACCGGCCCCGGCCCCCAGCACCCACTCGCAGAGCACGGACGGGTATGCCGGGCTGGCGGCCCCCGCAGGGACTGCAGCGCTCGCCCCCATCGCTTGGGCAGGGGCTCGGTCCCGCGGRACACCGAGACCCCCAACCTGGAGGCTTACTCAGAAATACGTGAGCCATGGTCTGAGCCTTCATTTTGCTGAGATTAATTGAAATAATACCAATAGGTGAAAACGCCTCCTGCAGCCTCTCCTTGTTGTCCCCGGGGTCCACTAACACACCTCCTCTAGCAAACTGTAGGATTAAGAACCTCCGTCCTTAAAATAAAGGTTCTACGTGAAGTGGTCACCCACCAAAAAATAAGCCATCCAGCGAAGCTGCGGTCCCCAGCATTTCTCTTGCTGCCACTCACAAGCCATGGACCACAGCACTTCAGTGGACAATAAGGAACAATAAGGCAACTGTGGGAGAGGGTCTGGGCTGTCACATCTTCAGAGGGAACAGCTGCCCACTCTTCTCTTCACCTTGCATGGCCTTTCTGCTACTCGACAAGATCGTATCTGTCACCTTCAAAGGTCCTAGCAATCCTTAAGTAGATTACAAGTTCACATCTGTSAGCCATTTTCTACCCCTGTATCCCAGAAGGTTTGCTGGTTTTCACCGGGAAGGAAGAAGAATCATGTCCTACATGCACTTGGTGGATGCTTTCACACTCCATCTCATCTCACTAGACAAAGCTCAACCCATCCCTGCTCTCACCTTCTCTGGCTCTTTGCAGCTCCTGACAACCCTGTCAGCACCCTGTGGCAGCCATGGGTGGCTCTGCAGGCCCCAGGACCCTGTGAGACTCCAACAGGCAGTGACCACATCAAAGCCAAGGTCTCTCCCAACCCCGAGTGTGGATCCCTGCTTGCTCATCGATGGCAGGCCTGGAGAGCACATGCCTGAGCAATAAAATGGGGGCCTACCACACTAGCTGCCTCTGTAGAAGCTGCCTTCTTTCTGCTTCTTTGCTGCTCTCCTGCCAGCCAGGAGCCCTGCTCCTTTCCTTGCCCTTCTCCTCCTGTGTCCATCACCCCATGTAACTATTCCACCAAGGGACAGGGATGTCCAAATCTCCTGCTTGGTTGTTCCATCAGTTCTGTGGGTATTTATGAGACAGGTGTGCACCATCTCTATTCTGAGATGCTTCCTGTCATTTTACATCYACTCTCATCCCTCGATCCATCACAGCCAGCTCAGCCTGCTTTTGAGCCCTGATTCCTACCATGTCTGGAGCTTAGCACAGCTTCTGGTACTTGGTTTAAAACCAGACAGCCTCTCCYGTAGCTCTAGGACCTGGAAGGATCCACCTTTCTCCTCTGACACCCAGAGCACCCTGCCTTGCACCCTTTGCCACTCATGGTAGGAGGCCAAGGGTTTACTGGTGACACCCCCAACAGTGAGTGACTGTAGGCTGCTCAGCCTCACCCTTACTTCTTCCTTGAAATCCTACCACCTTCACCATCTGTGTCAGATAGAACACCTCCTGCAGCCTCCTCACCTGTTCCCACACTCCTCTGCTGGGATCTGCCCCGGTCCCGACCGCACTGCACTGCAACGTCATTGCACAGCCATGCCCAGGTGCTCTTAAACCTCACCGGGTTAAACATGCCAGGAAAACCTCCTGGGTGCTGTGTGTTCATTTGAATGGGCTGTGTGTTCATTTGAATGGGAGGGGGCCTGCAGAGGGACCCCTCACATGCCGATATCCAGAAGTATCTGCATCGAAAGCATGAGCGCTGGGAGACGGAGATGAGGTTAGGTTGCAGACAGCAGAATGGGACACGTGGCTCTCYCCATGCTCCTTCTCTTGGAGGTGAGAGCTGTCCTGCCGAGTGAGGGCTGTCCAGGCTGAGGAGGTAAAGCTGGTGGCTGAAAATCTGAACTCCGAGGAAGGGGAATGAAGAACAAAACCCAGAGTGGGATTTCAGAAGGTGGGATATCTGAGGAAATGTGTTTTGGGTTTTGGCTTTGCATGTGAGTGTCGCAGACAGAAGCAGGCAGGTATGGATGGAAGTAAAACTGGGGAATACAGAGGAGGGAGAGGGGACCTAWGCAATGTGGATCTTGGGTGCACTCCTTCCTCCACATTGAACAGCTCCTGTCCCATCCCTATGCACAATCCTGAGTCTCAGGCTTGCTCTGTCAGTCTGTGAACTGCCCAGTATGATTTAATCAGAGCAGCTCTATTTGCAGACCCAAGAAAAGGGYGTTGAGGGAATTCCTGTTCTTGGCTTAGACCCTGCTCTACTAGACTCTGATCTTTGCCGTGCCATCCCTAGAGGCATCTCAGATGCAACAGCTGCTGGGTCAGAATTAGGCAGAATTTTTTCCTAGCCATCGGAGTCCTCCATGGCTTTTCCCTCCAGTGAAGGAAATCCTACAAAGCAGAGACCTGGAGTGGGAACTGGAGCAACCTCTTGTCATGGTCTCCCCTCCAATGCATGCCAGATGAAGATTCCCTCCCCTGCTGTCATCCCAACACACCATCACCGTTCACAGACAGAGGGAGGAATTACCTGTCAAAACCAGCTGAAGCTGCTTCCCTTTCTTCCGGAGTCTGGAACCTGCACCTTGGAGGCAGCCACACATCAGGGACAAGACGCGGATGCCGGGCTGAGAAATCAGGTAATGTTGCCTCTTCTCCTTCCCCAAGAAGCTTTCTCCAGAGCAGAGTCTCTCCCCTGCACAGAAGCCCAGACAAATTCACCCCTTCCTGCTCACTTCAATTCCTCGAGAAAGGCAGAAAAGCAGCACAAACAAGCTGGAGACAAACTGCAAACACCTCTGAGCTGCCAGCTCATCCTCTACAGCTCTTTCTCCCAGTCACCCTCCCCTCCTTACGCACAGCACCAGCCCGGGGTCTCTAGGTTAAAACAAATGTTCTCCCCCATCCCACCCCCCTTGCTTTTCCAATTCCACCCCAGCCCACAACGAACAACAGCTCACTGGCCCTACAGCCATGTAACCCAACCCCAGCCATTGTTCCCCTTCCACAAGGTCTATATTTGACTTTGCAGCAGCACCGTGGCTGTGCGTGTGTGTGTGTGTGCGTGTGCACTCTCTGCACACACACGCTCCGATATTTGTTCAGAGCCTCATTCCCCAGATGCCCGGGATTGCTTAGAAATAGCTTCCATGGGCAGTAGGTGTTTGTGCCTTCAGCGGGGAAGTGGAGGGGGTAGGCAAAAGACAAGCAGRGAGGGGGTGAAAGTCAAAGGTAGAAAACCTCCTGGCTCTTTTCTCTTAATTTACACCATCTCGATGCTCTGCCACACTGTGGAGCGTGGCCAGGCTGGCAGACAGCAGTGCCTGGACTCAGCAGCACGACTGGTGGCATATCTGGGGAGTGATGGACAAAAGGACAAGCTGTGGTCTTGGTGAGTCTGTCCTGTGTTACCCTGCCCAAAGTTTTGCTCTCTGGTGGCAGAAGTGCAGTTCAGCCACCAAAAACTATTCAAATCTTCCTATATCTGGAGGCTGAGACCACCAGAATTGCCACTAGGGAGGGAAGTACCCAATTCCCTTGGCCTGCTGGCTGTGCAAGGGGTGTCTCAGGGAATGAGAGCTTCCCTTGGATTCACCTTCTTATGTTCCAGTACCATACTACAAGCAGCCACTGTGGGCTACCCCGAGATGTATTTTGTGTTTTCCCAAAGCCTCCAGGGATGCTGCCTGAGTCCAATGTCACAGTTCCTGTGACCCCAGAGTCTCTGGAAACACTGCCTACTTTTATTTGCTTCTTTTGTGCCCTGCCAGGACATAAGGTAAAATGAGAAACAAGTGCAATCAAAATGAGTGACAGGGAGGATTACTTTTTTATCCTAAACACTGATGATCCAAGGAACTCATTGCCACTGGGTTACAAGAAAAGGCATTCATTTAAAAAAAAAAAAAAAAAACCTGACTAGACATTTATATAGACAATGAGAATAAATAGGAATGAACTCCAAAGAGCTATAAACCCTCTTGCTCCAGGGCATTGAAGATGAGTTCTAGGCCATGGAACAAGGAGCAGCTTTCCACAAGGGCAGGTTCTTTAGTAATTTTGTGCAGGGCAATGTTTGTACCTTTCCCTGAGCCRTGCAGACCCAGCCCTGGGAGAGGAAGGATGGGCATGGGTAGGCACCATCCGTACTTACCCACGGATGGAGAGGTGGCCCAGCATGTATTTGCCATTGCCAAGGCCAAGGCCGGATGAGCTTTGTGGATGCTCTCATGGTGGCTGTGAGATGTCCTGGAGAGGGGATTCCCAGGTGTCCAAAGCCAAGTGTCACCCTCTGTCCAAGCCTCTGATCATCAGCGAACTTCTTCTCCTGTCGGTGCCAGCTGCAGGGAGTCCCTCACCATCAGGGCTGCTGCTTCCTGAGATGCTCTGCACTCTGTGCTGGCCTCTGCAGCTGCTCTGTTGAGACTAACTAAAATCTGACTGCCTGCTGGACTGCTCCGCTAAAACAGATCCTCTGAGTGTGGGAGAATGCATGTGTCACTGTGATGGACTTGAGTTCAATACCTGACAGCCTTCAAACCTGCTGTGAGTGGCAGCAAAAGTAAGCTTAAGTCACACATTATTTTGAGATACAGACTCCTCAAATCCACCCTCAGTACTTCAATCCAAGACAAGACAAAGCTACCAGGGGAAAAAAAAAAAAAAACCAACTTAAAAAGAAGCATTAAACACTGGAAGAAAAAGACTTAGACTTGAAGAGGGGGAAAAAG